CTTTTTCTTTAAACCTTAATATCTTTTCCTAATTAGTATTTTACCTTATATTATAACTATTTATGAGCACTCTGACATTTTAACTTTTATTAGATATCTGTCACTTATGAATTTGAATTACTTTTAGTTATGTTTTCTAACAACTTATTAGCATATGCTCTATCTAACCAAAATTATAATTATTTTTATATTTGAATTTTGAAATTTATACTATTCTAATAATCCGATGATTCCTACTACTTATTCAATACTAACAACAATTTTTTTAATCAAATATTTTCTTAATTTTATAATAACCATTTCAACCATTATCTTTACCGCTTTGTCTTTTAAATAGAAATTGAATTTAAATTTTAATTTGCTCTCTCACGTCTGATTTCATCTCAATATAGTTTAATCATTGTTTAATACCTTTGTTTACACAGGTATATGAGGTTCTTGGGGTTGTCCCACGTCTTGAATTTTTTAAGTCTCGACGCTTCCGCTACCATTTTTTTGATGAGAAAGAATGATCGAACAATACCGAGGCCTCAATCTGCTTACTCCAAAATTTTAAATCGGTTTTTGCATAAGATATTTAAAAAATATTTAATTTTAAAAACATCATATTCACACGAAAAAGAATACGTAGTCAGTAGACACAGTATATATATTTTTTGATTTAATTACTTAGAACATCTAACTTTAAATAAAAAATGTACTATTTAACTTACTTTTATACTCTATTCTGTCAAAACTGTTGATGAATTCACTCGAACATTTCTCCGACTGTAAAAAGTAATCGAGCTTTTCGCCACATTTAAGATCCCGAGTCAGCTCTGGCAGCTGAAAGCGCCCGTAAAGCCATAAAAAATGGCGCAGTTAAATTTTTCGCATCGCTTTATTCGCTGAATGGTAGTTTAATTAGTTTTAATATTTCTCGCCCCATGGAGTAGGTACAAACCTTGAAAAGCTCATTAATAACGAATAATTAATTGACATTATCGTACGCCAAGAAAGATGTTACTTGGAAGTAACGAACAAAGGAAGTTTATTAATTTCATAACGGCTGTATTGTTGAGGAAAATTGTATTAGCCATTGTAGGCAGCGGATTGCCCGTAAATTAAAAATAATTTATGGCCTAATGGGGCCTTTTTTTTGTCGTAACATTAACTTTCTTGTAATTCGTATAGTTAGGTTAATATATAGAGTACACAAAAACCAGGTAAAACATTATTTATACAAGGTAAATAATATCCAAAACCTCTATTACCTGGTAGAATACAGGAGACCTTTTTAAGCCACTGATAAAATCATAAAATCTGCAGGTATTTTGCTGCAAAGAGTATTCTCTTGTTTCATGTCGGTAAAATGTACTATTTTGAAAAATAACTAAGAACTACCTGGCATTTTAAGTTCATTGGCCCGGAGCCCTTCTGCGATACATCTCCCAGTGTGGTCAGGCGGGCTCTGGGCAAATGGACTGAAATAGAACACAGGAAATACTGGACATCAAGGCCATGGCATAGCCATTCTAAGGAGCTCATGAAATACCCTTTGAAAGAAAGAGCAAATGAGTCGCTTTATATTTGTACCTACATTAACGTTATATGCACTTTTTACGTGCTGTCTTTTCTTATTTCTTCAAGTGCTGTTAGCCCTAGGACATTATAACACTCTATATATTTATTTTGGAGAGGGTTGTTTTTAAAAATTAATAAAAATTTTAACTTGCTTATTTATTTTAAACAATCAGTTCAATCCGATAACCACTCAAACTTTTTAAACCTTACAGTTAAGAATTGCAATGTACTATTTTATACAATTATAATATACAGGGTGTTAATGATAAGTTTTGCCAAAGATTTTAAGATCTAGATACCATCTTCTTAATATTTAGAACTGTTAAGTTGGACAAAAGACACTTCAAATTTCGAACCCTGAGGATGTTGTAAAATAACATCGAAATGTTGGCAATGATTTAAAATATATTGTTCTTTTATTTATTGATCTTTATCCCACTAAAACCTTGACTCGGATCACAAGAAATGTTCAAAATGCTGTCCTTGGGATGCAATGCACGCTACGCAGCGTCTCTGCATTGACCGTCTTACACGCCTTATAATTCCAGTCCTATTGTGTGTGTATGGTTGCGAAACCCTCTACAATGCGCTGTCGAAGTACTTCTACATTGGGAACTGGAGTACGATATATCATAGTTTTGAGGTAGCCCCAAAAAAAGTAATCCAAGGGATTCAGGTCGAGGGAACGAGCCAGCCAAGCAATGGGTCCTCCTCTACCAATACAGTGGTTAGGATACTGATTATTCAGCAACTGTCTAACGGTAAGGCTGTAATGAGGTGGCGCCCCATCATGCATATACCACAATAACTGACGTAACCTCAATGGCACTTCTTCTAGAAGAGGTGGTAATTCTTCTTGTAGGAACCTTTGATAAGTTCTACCATAGAGGGTTCTGTAATCTCCCACAATGCCTGCCCAAACATTCGGAGAAAGCTGTTCTTGGAATCGACGTTGGGAAATAATATACGGATTTTCATCCACCCATTGGTGGTTATTATGAATTGAAGTTATCCCCGAATTCAGGTTCGGCGACCTCAAAAGCATACATACTTACAGGTTAACATTCGTGAAAGGCCTTTTCTTTACTTTGACCTTGAAATGATCTTGACTTGACCTAAATGTGACCTAGTAGCGCTAAGCTATCCCCAAATTCAGTCCCCCCCAAAAAAAACTTATATACGCACTGGTTGAAATTCAATACAAGTCTTTTCTTCAGTTTGACCTTGAAACGACCTTTACCTGACCTCCAGGTAACCTTAGATAGCTAAGCTATCCAAGAATTCAGGTTCAGAGATCCCAAAAGCATTGTACCTACTAGTCAAAATTCATTACATGCCTCAGTTTTTGAATGCATCAACTTGAAACTTCGTGAAGCTTACTCAGTCCTTCAGTCAAAATCACACAATGCCCCCCTCTATATCTCTGAAACTATCCATAGGATCACTTTGGGCCCGTGACAAGTTTTCATCAGAATGTCGAGAATTATAACATATTACAATTTCAACCAAATCTAGCGGGAACCAATTTCCATTCATTTTGTGCGGGGTCCTTTCGCTTCATCGGTAAATAATATTAATAACTGAAAATCAAGCTGTTCGCATTGTAAAAACCACTGAGAAAATTCAATCCTCGGGCATGAACTCGCTGGACATGATATGGGCGTAATTGCTGTTCCCGTAAGACGTTCCAGATCGTTACATGTGATACACCCAAATCTGTTGATATCTGTCTAGTACTGGTAGATGGGTCTGCATTTACAGATTCCAAATTTCTGTCTTCCAAATGAACTGTACGACCAAGTTTTTCTTTTGCTCGACGTTTTGGTAGCGACAAACATGCAGTTTCACGAGCTCGATGAACGCTTGAAAAAGTATTCCTTGTTGGACAACGTCAATTTGGAAAAGTCTGTCTATATAGTCGTTCAGCTTGTCTAGCATTGCCATTGTAAAATGTATATCTGCCAATCCAATATTTGTATAATTGACTATCATATTTTTTTTATTAAAATCTGTATGAAAATAACAAACTTTTTGCACACACAAAACAGTGGCGTTGTATAGTGTTTTGAAATCTCTCAAAAATATTAGGTATTGTAGGTATTGAATTTATTGTTACACATTTAGCAATCAATAGAAAATGATAAATAGCAACGTATGTACTTAAGTATCTTCTTATTTGCCACAAATTGATTGCACATTTTAAAAACACTTAAAATTATTTAAAAAACCAGTGCCGTACGATTTTATTCAAAAAAGGGCCGCCTACTCCCACAATAACTACGCCACTGGAGTGTATTTAATACGTTATCTATACGTTAATAAGTTATCTATGAAAAACCAGTCCCTACATCGGTAGAATACGCCATTAAAGTTTGGCAAAACTTATAATTAACACCCTGTATTGTTTTAGAATAAATAATTTCTGGAAAGGCCATAAAAACCCCATGTACCGGTAATAAGAAATTACTTTGGAAGAAAAATTTTACGATTTTTTGGTGTAGCTAAGACAACAGCATGGGAAAATTACACCCAGCTCTAAAGCACAGTTGGAAAGCCACATAATACCAATAAAACTCAGTTTACGGCTTAAATATTATTAGTGCAATATGAATTTCCACAGTGGAGCCTGGCTCGCACTGAAACTCGTTTTATTTCAGACCTGAACGCCCCCATTTTGCAACCAACATAGTTTACGAGGTGTAGCTTGTCTTGGGGCGCTGACGTTATCATTTTTTATCGATTTTATGTTCAATAACCGAACCATGAAATGCTACGGAAAATGTGCCACTTTATGAGCCTTTATTAACCGATAAAGTTGGAAATTCTGTTTTGTTTCCGGAGAAATCAGATGTAAATTTATTTTAGAGACTCAATGTGTTTATAAAAGATTTTTTAATGGTAAGTAAAACGTATTTTCAGTAGCATTTTCAATAATTAAAACCTTTGAAGCTGGAAAATGATGCCGAAAATTAATTAATAATGATCAAGATTGTTAAAACTTATTGAGAACCTCTGGAATCGTCCATGACTTACATACTACATAAAAAGAGGTGAATAGTTGTATTAATTAATCTAAATGACAAAAATTTAGATTACTTTTGATTCATCAAACATGAAGTTGCTTCTATACTAAAATATTTTGATTTCAGCTTGTTTGATTCCCACTAAAACATCAAGTAAGATAATTTAATTAATTTCAGGTCCCTTTGGACCCACTTCTATAGCTCTTTTAGTGCCATAAAATCTGTTGTGTTACTTTGAAAAGTTGCGGAAAAATAAACACAAACTTCCCAACGATCCGAGTTTCCAAATGCCGTATAAAACTTTTCTGTTTAACGAGCCTTCTTCTAACAAAACTGATCCTTTTAAATTCCCCGAACTATGGATAAAGGCCATTAAAGCACTCCTATATATAAGCGCGAAAATATGGAACTCACCATAACAACTGTATCCATCTTCTCGCAGTATGTAACCTTCCCTGCAGTCACATTCGTACATCCCGTCGTGGAGTTCGTAGCACAACTGTTCACACGGACTCCCGTGGCCACATCGTCCTGGAAAAGGATAACATTTTACTGGTAAATGAAATTGCTGTTTTCATGTTCAATTTAATGATATAGGCATTACTCTGAGGAGAAGAAGGAAAGTGACAGCGGCTTCTCCAGACCTTAGTCCTATAGAAAACATATGGGGATTTACGCTAGGACCACAAAAAGCGCCATGGTAAGGATGTTCGCTATAAATGTAAAACTTGTGGCTATATTTATTAGAATGTCGCTGTCATATGCAATAAAATTGTGTTTCTAAGTAAATTTCGTAATATGAAAGAAGAAAAAAATAATAATTATGCCGGTAATTGAGCATTTAAAACGAAATGTTGAAATCAGATTGTGCAAGGTAACATGTGGAAGAACATTCCCAGTGAACTACAAATAAATTTTAAAAGGAAGATATAGGGTATTTACCAACTTCTTGAGGATTTGTTGATAGTAAATATAATGCATTAATAATAAGCATTTCAATAATGAAAATCTTTAAAACTGGAAGACGGTGCTGAAAATTAATCAATGAACATTTTTACAACTTATTGAGAACTTCTGAAATCGTACGCGAATTACATCCTACAAAGAAAGGGGCGAATAGTTGCGACCACAAGTGGCGTGTCGTCCGGTTTTTTTATACCGTAAACATAAAAAAATTACTAGTTCAGTTTTCGATAATCATCAGTTTTGCTTTAGTTTTCGTTGCGTAAAAACATATGTGTTTTGTTGTGGATTTGAATTAATAAATCTGAGTAAACATACTAAAATGGCCTATAAATGCAGTAGCACTGAGTCGTGGTGGTAACATATGGAAATACAGTATAAAGAGAGGCAAAGCTATTGGTGGAATCAGTGGTTCCAAAAGTTTTTATCGTATCGGTGTGATAAGTCAAATATCCTTTAAATATCAATATCTTATTATCACTCAATAGTCAATTTTATCGCATTTATCTGATAGTAAATTCAATGTACGTTATCGTAGTTACAAGTCTATTGATTGCCAGAGACAATCAGGGTACCGCAAGGATCGTTACTTGGCCTTCTGTTGCTCACAATCGTTATAAATATCATCAACTACAGTGTTGTGGTACTCTTGCATGTATATGGCTACAAATTGTTTGTACCTATCAATGACTTCAGTATGATTTGAAACATAGTTAGCTACAGCACAGTGCTCTATGTAGCCGGCATAAAACAGTGATGACTATTTGCTAATAACATTAAAAATAGGCAACATATGGTATATGAGACGTAGTAAGCATAAAAATATATACAATTAATCAAGAATCAAAGTTTCGACGTTTCTACCAACAAATATAACAAACCTATAAGTTGTAAAGGAATAATAGTTACGTAATCATTGTAAAATCTAAAAACTTAAAACTATCTTAGATTGAATTGTAGTTTAAACTTTTGAAATTACTAACCGATAGTTATCTAAAGTCGGCAATTTTATTATTCACACACTGCTCCATTAATTTCCAAGGTTTAAAATGGATAAAAAACAATAGTCCCAGTCGTGCAGCTCGTATAGTTTTGTTTCATGAGAACAAGTCGGGAGTAAATCGTACTCTCTGGTGGACCGTTCACAAACAAAATGGAATGGTCTCCAGTGATTTAACAGGACACATTTGTATCAAGTCTGCTCTGTACTCTGTGTGCAATTTGCTTTTTATATGAATGCAAACAATAAAATATTTAAATTCGCAAATAAATTAGTTTATTATTTATATTAGTAAGTTGGGAGCATTTTACTTTAGTAGTACTTGCAGGCGAAAAAAAGTTACAATGTCCTGGTTTTATTTAGAGCAGAAAAAACATTTGAAAACACTTTCTAGAGTTCTTTAGCGATATATAAAGTATGACTATAGTTTAATATTTTTTCTAAATTAATGGTATTGAACTTCCTTCGTCTCTTTTTATACATCTATTTGAATTTTATTATTAATATCTAACAATAGACGTTGATTTTCTACAATTACATGATATCCATGAACAAAAAAAAATACTTTTAAAAACTGCATGACTTTTGCATTTTGTACATCTTTTGGAGAAAAATTTACCTACATTTTTAAACATTTTTTTTTCAAATTATAAAACCAGATGACTAGCTTCGTTTGCTATGGTATTATTATTTGTGAATCGTTTATTCCGTTACTCCTTTGATATTAATTTTATCTCTTTATATTCCATTTATATATAATAATGTGAATATGAAACCTTACAAATCATTCTGACATGATATCTGTTTATTGCATAAAAATTATATATTCTCAACTGTTCTTTACAATTTTAGGTCATCACGGACATGTTTGGGACATTTAATTAAATTCCCTACAAATAAATAGGTATTAGGAAAAATAATCGTGTTAAATTTGATGCTTGCAGACCTCCTATATTCTTAAGGTAAATATAAGTTTTAATTATATAACTATATTAATAATTATATAACTAATGTCTAATAGATAGGTATACAAATAAAATTTAATAACAATAAATTATCATACAATTCGATATGACCCCAATTACTTACTAATTATTAGTAGGTGAAATATATTTATTACTCTGCAAAGACTGGAACGTCAAAAATAAAATACTCAAATATACTGCTTACAGAACAGCAAAAGAAGTTAAAGAGAACAAAGCCGAATAAAACCCTATACTAAAGACTAATTTCACCTGGGGATATTTCCTTGCACAACATAAGAAGATATATCTCTTCTAAATTTTTATTGTTTCATAGAAATATCTATAAGTTAACTTATAAATGTGTTTTTGATATACTTTTACTTGAAAACGATAAACATATTTTAAGGCAACTCAAAATTTATATAATGATAAATAGATATGTAAGAAAAAACGACTTTAAGGGATATTATTGTGAGGTAATCTCTGATTTTCGGGATGAGAAATGTCAGATAATGGTGAAGATAAGGCTCACAAAGGGCCACCAAATGAGGGTCTTTTCGGCTTAAGAAAAATATAGGGGAAAAGACTCAAATCATCAACTAATTGTTGATGATTTGAGTCAATAGCAAACAATCAAAATGCGTTATTTACAATATTATTGTTTATCTAACAAAACAGGCGTATGTAAATCCAATATTCTATTTGAAAACGTCATTTTTCTCTGAGAAAATATAAGAGGAATATTCAACGTTATTATTTTTTAAATATCAGTGGCTAATCTAACATTTAAAGAATGGTTATATATCTCAATTCCTATGCTAGTGGAGAAGAAAAAAATCACAATAATTAATACAATATTATTAAAATTTGCTATAAGCATTATATTTTGATATGATATCTAGTTTACTAGTAAAAGTACCTTAAACTAGTTTAATGTTTTGCACAGACAGTGGTGTAACAAGAATGGTTTTGGGTGCTAGAATATTACCCCGAGTGCAAACCAAAAAGTTTAGCAAAGTTGCGCAATATTTTGCTGCAACTTTTCCAGAAATCTGATCTGAGATATTTCAACAAATTCTTGAAATATATGGATATAACAGGAAAAAACTTATTTTTATTTTATGAACTATTCTAAGGACGGTTTGGAATCTCGACCTACCCCTCCCCCATCCACCATACCTCATCTCTTCCATCGCCTCCCCCCCTCCCCCACCAAATTCTCTTTCAGCTTTTGATGCCTCAGAGTAACTCAATGTTGAAAACGTTAGAGAGATTTGTCACATTTGTATTGCACGTGATAGACAGACGTCGATAACATACATTATTAACGGCTGTTCAACAGGAACTAGAGGAATACATGTAACAAAATACGTAGGTAGACATTTCAGCATTGCATTGAATGGATGCGTAGTAGAACTTCCGTCAAAAGCTTCAAATAAAATACACAAAGCTCGTCTAACTTTGTATTACGGTCGATACAAAATGTTGAGAGAGCAGCATTGAGCCATAAATATCAAACTCAAACTGTAGGTAATAAACTGTAGTAATCATATAATTAAAGATATTAAAGAGATCTAAGTGTCTAGACTTTCATAGGTAGAATGAATTGCTTAATTTTGTGCAGTGACGAAGTTTAGATACTAATCAAAATTTTGTTCTGCTTGGAAATAAAATAAAATAGTAGAAGCAAATTCCTTAAAAACGTAGTGGTCTTAGTTGTATCTAATTTCATTAATTTAATTCTCTTATATATATTAACATACATATGGATTACCCAAGAAGTTCTATAAAAGCTTAGTAACTTCCTTAAACTATTTACAAACATAATTGAAGCGTATAGGAGAAATTTATATCACACATAAATGTATGGTGTCCCGTTTCCAAGAAATTACATCGTACTTGTACTTTCTTCATCTTCAGCGGTGTACAGGGTGGGCAAATAAGCGAGGTAAGCGGCTGTATCTCAGAAACTAGTGATCGTAGAGAGCTACGGTAAAAAATTTTATAGGTAAAGTGGGCAAGGGAAAATGCTGGAAATTATTTTCAAGTTTCCAAGATGGCCGCCAGTGGGCGTTTCCACCATATTGAATTACATAAAGTTACGTTTCTCACGATTTTCCCCAATGAATGTAACAAAAAAGTATTTGCGTTTTAATGTTAACTTAAAGTCGAACATTTTTTGTAAAAACTATTTTTCTCTATCTTTCGAAATAAAGTGGTGGGGGGTATTTGAATGTTGTTTGAAATAAATGCCTGTAACTTCGAAACGGCTTAATGGATTTGGATAAATTTGGTATCATTGAAAAGAGCATTTCTTGGGCTTTTAGGTTTCTCGTAATCATGACAGTTGCGACCTACACGGCCGCCGATAGAGGGCGTTATTCGATATTATAACCAAAATATTGGATTTTCTCAAAAAATTTAAATGCGATGATATGACTTTTTTTAGACTAGAAAATAGACAAATGACCAACCAATAAGCCTGCGCAAACCGCATCTTAATATCTTTTTCCTAACTCAAATTATTTAAAAAAATACTAAACCAGGAAAATTCTTGTTCTCGTCGAATGTAGAGAATCGGATATTCGTTGGAGGGTAGAACATACAGGGTGTTTCTGAAACAAGGGTGGTAGAGGGCATGAAAATGAGCAACTTTTATTAAGCAATTATTGGTCTAAATGCTTCTGTTTTCGAGAAAATTAATCATAAACGTAAGCCGACCCTGTGTATCTTGTGCACATGCAAACTCAGACATCGCCCAGCATATCTAAATTTGCCCTTCTACTTATAATTTTTAAAATATAACAATCGAAACATGTATATAGATTTTTTCAAGGCCTTCTTAACTGATTATTTAATTTATAAAAACAGCTGATCATAACAAAGCGATGGCAGTTAAAAAAAATGTATATACATGGTTTTTCTAAAATAAGTGCGTTTCTTGAAAATGGTGATAGAGGGCACGAAAATGAGCAACTTTTATTAAACAACTGATGGTCTAAATGATTCTGTTTTCCAGAAATTTAATTATGACAATTATCCATAAATGTAAGCTGACCCTATGCA